CCTGCCTCAATCACTGGTCTAATAATGTGGTGAAGCAGTAAAACATCGTGCACTTTCATACACACATCTCACAGTTGGGTGAGTCTTGGGCTTGGCAGTTTTTAAATAACAAGGCAGATTGGAATGGGCAGAAGGACAGAGAGAGATTTTATCCCTTTGCCCAGTCAGTGCCCAATAGCACTATGTGTTTCAGTGATCCCTGATGCAGTTCAAATTGAACTTCTAATTGTTCACACTTGTGAACTTGGGTGAGTAGGCTTTTGTGGTGCAGTGGTAATGCCCCTACCTCTGAGCCAGAGGGCCCAGATAGTAGTCCCAAACTGCTCCAGAAGTGTGTTAGAACCTGTCTGAACATGGTGAGAATGAAAAATATTGAAAGTGGTCTCGGAATCCTTCCACAACAAATATTCTGAAGAAACTCTTTCCTTCAACATTGTCTACATATACACCTCATTAACCATGAAGAAGATTTGATCTTCCTCCAGAAACTCAAAGATGGCTCCCTGGTAGGAGGTTTTGTACCAGGGCTCCCTGCGTTGGTGAGAGTGGCAGGCAGATTTGGTGGCTTTCAGTAGAATGGCTTCCCCGGGATAACTTGATGACAGCTTGGCGAGCTCATGGCTCAGGTAGATGGCCTGGTGCTCACAGTCCATGCTGTGCAAGACCACCTGAATGTAGACAAAGTATTGTCCAGGCCTCTTGATCATGAAATTGTTGTCCCTGAACTCCACCCCTTTGCCATATCTGAAATGCTGAGAGGGGACAATGAGAGGTGGCAGTGAATGGAAGACATTACATCTTGGGAGCATTCATTTTGTTAGATACTTTGTCAAAGAATGTGCTGTGACCTTTACATCATTCTTTTCAATATTCATCTCTCCTCTACAGTACTTTCAGAATCATTCTGTTGCACTTAAAGAGGTATTTTCCATTTGCAAGGTGCGTTCTCTTTGGTCCTGTCAAAATGAAACTCGCAACTTGTGTCACACAATGTATGCACCTTGTGGCATGTGAGACACATTTCACATCAGAGCTTTCAGGGCAACAGGGAAAAAGTAAGGATGTGCATTTACACAGCGCCTATCACTGCCATGAGAGACCCCAACACCATCAACAAAGAACTCACAATATGCTTGTCACTGTTGCAATAGAGGAAATGAGGCGGCCAAATCACACAGGCAGCTCCAACCCCAGTCTAAATATTTTTTGGTTGATGAGTGTTCCAGACTCCCCTGCCCTCCTTTACAAAGGAATCCTTTTCAGCCTTGCCCTGACGCTCATTCTAAATGTAAAGTGAGCACTCTTCAGAGGAGAACAGCACAAGAAGTAGGTCTGGGAGTAGACCATTAGGCCCCACAAGCCTGCTCCACCATCCAATACAATCATAGGCTTCAACTCGATTTAAAGAGAGATAGAGATGAATACGATTAATGAGGGAGGAAGAGAGTATGATTTAAAGATTGATAGAGTGAGGTTTCAAACCGCAGAGACAGAGAGACAGAGAAGTGTGAAATAACTCTTCAGAGGCCAGCATCCCATCACCAATTATCCTTTATTTACGAATGCAGAGCCTTTGGCAATAACACTGCCTCTCACTGTGTCAGGCATTCAGGAGGCTAATATCCCTGACATTCACCCTTTTATATCAACCGCTTCCCCTGATTGGCCCAGATTAACAGCCGCAATCAGGGAACTCATATTCTCTGAGGTCCAGCTGGCTAACCTTATTATAATAACTACAAGGGGTATTTATAGTGTATCTAAGGCACAGAGAGTGAGGGATTGATAGAGGTTGGAAAACACAGAGTGAGGGATCTGTAAGAATTGGAAAACACAGAGAAAGAGTTTGCTATCAATTGGAAGACACAGAGAGAAGGATTGATAGAGATTCGGAGATATACAGAGAGGGAGACTGGTAGAGATTTGGAGACACACAGAGACAGGGGTTAGTAGAGATTGGCAGACACAGTAAGAGATTGGTAGAGATTGGAAGACCCAGAGATAAAGAGGGATTGGTAGAGATTTGGAGATATACAGAGAGGGAGACTGGTAGAGGTTTGGAGACACACAGAGACAGGGGTTAGTAGAGATTGGCAGACACAGTAAGAGATTGGTAGAGATTGGGAGACCCAGCGATAAAGAGGGATTGGTAGAGATTTGGAGACACACAGATAGAGGGATTGGCAGAGATTGGGAGACAGAGAGAGAGGAATTGGTAGAGATTTGGAGACACAGAGAGAGAGGGACCGGTAGAGATTGGGACACAAAGAGAGAGGAATTGGTAGAGATTTGGAGACATGCAGAGAGTGGAATTGGCAGAGATAAATACAGGGTGAAAGAGCTAGACTGACACTGGTCAGCGTGGAGCATGCTTGAGACCCTGAGGGAAAAGGAGAAGTTGGGTCCTGTCATGTTGTTCCCTGAGCAGACTGTCAAAGTCATTTGGCACAATGCTTCATCACCAGAACTTTCTAACAAGCACCAAGGCATCGCTTGTCTGGTGGCGAGAAGGGCACTACCTATGAGATCCTTAATTTACATCCAGACTCTCTGCACCACCACACCACAGACATGGACCGGTTGGACTGTAGTGTCTGTTTCTGTGCTGTATGAGTCTATGTTGAGTCCATGTTGATTCACTCTAAACTCAATTAGTTGCATTTCCCTGCCTTTCCCCTGTAGCCCTGCAAAGAATTACCCAAATTTCTTTTGAAGTCTTCACTTATTACCGTTCCAACAACACTCACAAGGTATGCATTTCAGATCCTATTCCCTCATTGGGTTAAAATGTTATGTCTCAGAGGGCATAGGGACAGAAGGGAGTTGTAGAGACAGAAAGAAATGATTGGGAACATTTATGACTTCTGTTCATCGATGCATAGTCTTTAAGGATGTGTTTTTGAATTGGCTGTGGCAACTTCTTATAAAGTATTTGAGGCAGAGAATGGGAAATGGATCGGACCACTTACATGTAAATTCACTTGAGCAAAACTTGTTAGTTATCCAAATATATCTGTTTCATCACTGCATTGTAACCCACTGGAAATATTTTAGAAAGGATGTGGTCAGTGAGCACGGTGCAACCAATTCAAGAAGGATGTGACATGTTTTTGGTGGGGGAGGGGGTGGGGTGTGTTCGGATAGTGGGTGCAGTGAAGGGACTGTGTATTATTTACAGTTACCAAGCATGTTCTCATGATTAATACATTTTTATCCGCTGAAGGAAACAGGGAGGAATTTTCTAGAGTTTGTTTTAAAATCTGAGAGATCCAATGACCCCTCAAATAACAGGGTTACTTGTCCTGAAACCATCAACTGGTGAATGGACTGATCACCTTTCAAATTCTCAACCTCCTCTTCCCATCTCAGATTCCCAGTCTGCCTTATCCTCCTACATTGCCAATTTGGTTGCCCTGGATCCAAATTGTCAGCAGTAATTGCCAAGGGTCATTTCCACCAAAAGCTGATCATTGTGTAATAATTAGAAACAAACATTTAATGTACTCAAAATATTTTTATTAACTTCCATCTGTGAGTTTGATAGTAATTAATAACAGATAAAATCAACAATACATAAATAAGTTTAAATAATGACATATCAATCTGGAACATCTTGAACTTGGCAACACTTTTGCCACTAAACGACATCTATAAAACAGATGTTATAGTTTTACATAAAACACTGATTTTGGTTGGCAACCCACAATTATTATCGAACAGTCCCCAACTGGAGGTAGGAAAATCTTCTGGTGTACAGAACCAACTGGATTGCCTCACTGAGTCACCAACGGAGATTACAGATAAAATTATCATACTCCTACCAGATCACAAGGCTGCTATTTCATTAGAGAGAAAGAGAGAGAGAGAGGAGACAACTGGTTTAACTTAAGTGCAGGAAATGAATCCAGGCTGTCAGTATCACACTGCATTGAAAACCAGCCATCAGCCATCCGAATGAATCAACCCACTAATAGTATTTCCGAGAATTAAAGGTAATGTGACATTTCTGCAGCAAACCACTCAGGAAACAATTAGATCAGGGCAGCACTCCAATTTCAAACAAGATTAAACAGAAGTAAACCAGTTTCATCAACTTATTCGCCAAAATTATTTTTGTTAGGGTGGGGAGGGGGAGGTTGGGGTGGAAGAGCACGCCAATGGTGTCTCAATGGTTGTAGAATATACATTCTCCTTTTTAATTACTAAAGTGTCGACCCAATTGCTTCCTGGAGAGTAATCTCGGTCAAAAATTGCATTGTCGAGATGGAAAATCAATTAATTACTGGGAAGCTTGGCTGACCTCCACCACTCAATAGAAATTTCAAGACTTTGTGTAACCATTGACAATGATCTTTCACAAACATATTAGTGATATAATCTAAATAAATGGAAAAGGTATTAACCATACTATGCAAGGACCAATAACTGGTCCTATGGGCTAACCAGTCTGAATATCAGACCAGAAACCCTACTTGTAAGTGCCAAGGATTGTTGCATTATTCTCTCCCTGAGGAGTACTAGTTCAGATCTTATTATTTACATGAAATATCATTGAAATATGAAATAAATTAAAGGATTAGTTGTGATAGCATTAACTTAAATAATAAAATCAGATTAGCTTAATTAGAGTATGTTATTTGCATGTTCACTCATCAAACACAAATAGGCATACCCAGCAGTGAATCATCGACCAGCATTAAAGGAAGGTGAGAGAACAGGAAAATCACATGGACGTATTCAGGCCATTCAGTACCTCTGGATTATTCTGCTAGATGGAAGCGAACATAGCTCCAGCGCGCACTCCGACTCAGCGCATGAAACTGGTGTGACAGTACCTGAAAGATAACCCACTACACTACCCCATCCTAAAATCCCAACACATTTGATAAACTTTCTTGTGCCAAGTCTTTAAATAAAGAGAAAAAGAGTTCAATCGATTTCTCTAATTAAAACAGGACAATGTGCCCCAAAAAATTTGCGTTGCTTTTCAATGTGAAATTCTTGATAATTGTTAATCAATGGAAGTGAGATCACTTACACAGCAAATATTCCAAAGAAACTCTTTCCTTCAGTTGTGTCTACATATTCTGTCATCCCCTCATTAACCCTGGAGAAGATCTGATCTCCCTCCAGAAACTCAAAGATGGCTCCCTGGTAGGAGGTTTTGTACCAGGGCTCCCTGCGTTGGCGAGAGTGGCAGGCAGATTTGGTGGCTTTCAGTAGAATGGTTTCCTCGGGATAACTTGGTGACAGCTTGGCGAGCTCGTGGCTGAGGTAGATGGCCTGTTGCTCACAACCCATGCTGTGGAAGACCACCTGTGTGTAGACAAAGTACTGTCCGGGCCTCTTGATGATGAGACGGTTGTCCCTGAACTCCACTCCCTCGGTGAAGGTGGCGTCACTCTCATTCTGCCAAATTACGTTCTCTTTTTCACGACTTGGTGATGCTGAGGGGGAGGGGGAGAACAGAGAGATAGAAAAGACATCATGAGGATCGAACAAAGACAAAGATACAGCTTGTATTTATGTAGCACCAGTCATGGCTGGGAATATGACAAAGCACTTTTCACCCAATGATGTGCATTTGATGGAAAGACTATGCTATTGTAGGAAATGGAGCTACCAATCTGTGCACAGCAAGATCCCACACCTTACAATGTCAGAGAAACTGGGTGGGCTGCAACTTACTTATAAGCTCGAGGGCAATTTTCACGCTGGCACATACAGAGAGGCCGATCACAGAAAGATTTTAACCCTTGTGTCTGTGCTACCGCTGCGTTCAAATGGACCAATTCACACCAATCCCCTTTCTCTTTGCCCAGAACCCTATAATCTCCTGCTCTCCTCCTGTGGTGCTTTCTACACTTTGCATTATTGATAAAGTAATTTGATGTCTTCCCAGTCCCCTCCTGCACCTCCCCAGCCACTGTGGACTATTCTCCAGAGGATGCAGTCACATTGAGAACAGTTCTGTACCTGTCAGATGAGCAGCGATTCTCGGCCGTGGGTCACTCCCCACCCGCTTCATGAGATGAAGCAAACCTGGAAATGGAAAGGATGGAAGCTCAGTCCCTGTTGTATCACCCACAGAGCACAGACTGACAGACACAGAGAGAGAGGGAATGAAGAGGAGACAGATGCACAGGTGGGATCATGAGAGAGAAGACTGTAAGAGAAAACACATCTGTGGAAGGAGAAAGAGAGTTAAGATTTCAAGTGTCATATCACTCAAAACTGAAAGAATTTCCTCAAGAGTCTGATGATGGCTCAGGGAAATGGGCATATACACAGCTAAAGAGCATGACTGACAAAGAAAGTGGCATACAGCAATACTAGAAAAGCCAGATGAGAACTGAGAAATATTGATAAAGGTTGACACAGAGACAGACATTGGCAAAAGAATATAATATATTGATAGTGACATTACATACCATTGGTCTGAGCAGCTGTTGTCAGGGCTGGATGGGGAACTTCCAGTTTTGGTCTTGAAACCTGAAGGAATTAAACAAGGACGGATGTGAAGATGTGAAATTCACCGAATTTCCACTACACCTAACCGGTGCAGCTGGTCATCCCAGGTCTACAGGGAGATAGTCTGTATGATCTGCAAACAAGCTCACTGCACTGCACAAGCTCAACACATTGTAGAGAGACACTGTAGTGCAGAGAGACAGTGTAATTAGGGATAAATTGCACCGTACAGAGAAACTACTTTGCATAGAGACACTGCTTTTTACAGTCAATATTATGTTCTGAGAAAGTACAGACAGACTTTTTAGAGCCACACGCTGGGGCCATTCAGACCGGTGGACCTCCATTCTAGGCTGACAGCAGTTTGTACCTGCTTGTCCTTTGGTAGCACCAGCAGAACTGACTGAGAAATCCGGGTTTATTTGGCGTTTACCATCGAGCAGTTCAAACAGTCCCCTGAGCTAACACTGGGGACTGAGCAGGATTGAGGAGAA